AAACCTTTATTTTAAATAAAAAGGTAAGTAAATTTGGGTTTGTCTTGGATTTTATGTAAATTTAAGTAAATCATAAACTAATGCCTTTTTGTTCGTAGTATTAATACTATGAGGGATCATAGATCTATGGTAATTGTTTATTGATTCAATGTAAAATAATCATAAACTAATGTCTACCGTTTATAATAATAATAACATGCTTTCATATATCTATGTTCGTTGTTTATTGATTTAATGTATTAATCATAAACTTATGTCCAACGGTCGTTATATTAACAACCGCTGTTCATAGATCCATGCTCATAGATTATTAATTTAACGTACAGCATTCATAAACTGATGTAAATCTGTTTATCGTATTAATTACAGTCAAACATAGATCCATGCTCCTCATTCATTGATTTAACGTACAGAAATCGTAACTTGATGAATAAGAAAATTTACGAACGACTGTTCATTGTATTAATAACACCCGTCATCGGCTGAAAATTATTGTTGTCGTTCAATTGATTTGATGTACTTCTTTATTAAAATCACGTACCTTTTTCGTTCAATTTTAAATAATTTTTTATCGTGATTTTTGTATATTTTTCACTTGTTGTTTCTAGAATGGTCCTAATCTGGACATGTCATCTCAAATTTTTACACACTCGCCAAATAACATAATTTATTTGATAGGCACCAGGCAGCCTTCATTTGCCGCCTTTTTGAATCCAAAGTGTTTCTGTCAGAATAAATTAAATCAAGACTGAGGCGGCAGGAGTAGCAGCGGCAGGCTCGGTAAGCTTGATTAGCAGCGATCCTGCTATGGCTGTCAGAAAACCACAATGATTGGATTATATTGTAAAGGAACCTAACCGACTTACACATTAATACAATATTCGATTTATCGACACGTTTCAACCACTGACAAGCTAGATGAGGATGGCTTGATCTCATTTCCAGTATTTGAATGAAATATTAACTTAAATATATTATTGACTCAATACAATTATAAAATTATATGTTTTTAATCGAAAGAGCATAAATTTATTTATTATACGGAGTGTCCCAAAAATAGTGTGCACTAATATACAAGCGGTTTTCAGGGCCAAAAATAGAAAGAATATGAACATAGGTTGGCAAATGAGACTTACAGGCTATGGGCGCCCCTAAAGATGTTTTATTATTATTATTTCTGAAACGGTTTGAGATAAAAATAATGTGTTATCGAAAAACATACTATGTATTTTGTTGTTAATATTTCTTGTTAAATATATTAAATTAAAAAAGAAAAAAGACATTTTTTTTTAAATTTGTTATTTAATTTTTATTTGATCGATATTTAACAAGAGTACTTTTTTTACGTTGAAAACTCTTATATTTTTATATTTTTGCTGCAATAAAAATTGCACAAACAAAGTTTGGGGTTAATTATACCGTTGTTTAATACACCCATAAATTAAAAAAAAATTGCTGTTATTTTTAAATTAAGCATAAAATGTTAAGTAAGCATATAGTCCAGGAAACAAAGATTGTAGAAGGAAAACTCGATGGTAGTTGGGTTTAATTTATTTTTAAGTAGAGTCAGGGGTGATGATAATGAATCAAGAATATTCCCCAAAAATTTCTTTCCGCGTCCCCTAATTTCATCCCCTGAAAGGAGTTTTTTATTTTTTGCTCATAACTCGCTAACCGTGCATTTTTTCAGAATTTGACCTATATTACTTTTGATCATGTATAATAAGGCACCCGGTAAACCCCATTGCGCACCTACATGATGTGCCCTTTTGCTATGCGCAGTGTGCAAAGTTGAACGTTGCTTTCAAAATCACTTTTTTGTTGTTTTTTTACGGTAATCAAACATAACCGAATGGACGATTTTTTGAGGCACTAGACTTTCTTAAAAGTTACTGCTTTTCAATGTACTGGGGGTTCTTTTTGTTGTTCGAAATAAAAAACTGTTTTAATATGTAATTACATACTTCCACAATTATTTTTTTTTTTTAATTTTCTCAAATTACCCTTACCCGAACTTCTATCTTTTTTATTTATTGCAAACATGATAACTTTTCCGTTTCGTTCAGAAAGTAATAAGCAAATTCTAATGTTTTGACATTCAATATCAAACATTTCTTGCTATCAACAAATCATTTGTTTGTCAGTGTAACATGTAACTGGGTGAATCTGACGAAATGTCCCCCGATGGTGTTACCCCATGATATTTAATAAAACTAAATAAGTTTAACCTACACTTTTATTGTGTTTTGATCTTTCATAATTAAGTAGATATTACAGCTCAGGTTCCAGTTTTTTAACCGCAATTAATTATTTTTTACAAAGTTTTAAAAGTGTAAAACCTATCCTCCGTGACTGTTACTAACCTATATGTTTTCAAATATCTGAGGTATTAAAAGCATACTAAAAATATCAGTTCACTAAGTAAATTAAACACATCCAGAGCAATCGAATCATCATAAAATATTATTAAAAATTAAAAGAAATAATTTTTATAATCATTTATGTAGGTGTTACAAAAATTGATTCTATCCTCCGTGAATCTGTTTTTGCTTTAAATTTTATGCAACGGATGGCGCTTTAATCATTTGAAATAAGCAAAAACCTCTGTTTACGACATTATAGATGCATGTGATTCCTGAAGGTCAGTTTTATGCAGATTAGAGTGTTGCTGTTTTATAATTCAAAAGTTAAAGTTAAGTTAAGTTTAAGTAATTTGCTATTTAAAAATCTATCCACCGCGAAGTGTAATATCTCGAGATATTACACTTACTGATTGGTAAGTAGAATTTTTTTATAAATATTTTATGTATGTACAGTTGTATTTTTTAAAAATATTAAGGTGTCAAAAGATAATAATAAAATAAGATAAGACAATAACTAATTTCAAATATACAAAGGGATGTTTAAAAAAAAAACATACGAAATCCTAACCTCCGTGAAGTTCTAATATTCAAAATGTATGATTTATTAAAATTCTTGCATTAGTGCAGAACCACTTTTGTTATGTTATTACTAGACCTGGTGGCTTCCCAAAAACCCCATTCTAGACTAACAGTGAAACAACCAAAAATAAAAAATAATCATTTTCACTTGAGGGACATCTTAATATATTTACCCAACTATAGTATACAGTTACATTTGCATTGTTATTGTAAACAAAAAAAAATGATTTTTTTCATGTAAATGCAAATAATTGAATATTTGTACGTAGTTTTTAGTTCTGATCAACTTTTTTTTATAAGAATTTTCGATATTGTCAAATTTAAACCGCGTATAAGACTGAAATTTTTTTATATCTGATGATTGAATTTTATACTTTAGAACATGCAGAACTTTTTATGAAGAATAACTTTTTTTCATAAAATTAATAATAAAAAAGTTTCCCATATCAGATTTCTCATATCGTTTTCCCATAAAATTAATAAAGAAACTTTATTAACCTTTAATATCGAACAGTGGTCCAGAGTCTGGACTCCAGACTATAAATAACAGGAGAATATTTGTATTAAAATATAAAGGAATACCTACGTTGATTGATTGCCTAATTTTTCAAAATAACACAAATTCGCGATGAATAAATTGTACAAAGATAACGTAGCTAGAGCATTTTTTGCTCGGTGCAAAGACTAATCCACTATTCAAATTTCGTAAAATATATTACTCTTAAAAGGTAAGCTCATTTTAACAAAAATCGTACAACTTTTTTCTTAACTATCGATTTGATTGACACTTGAATCACTTAAAAATGCAAATTAAATATTAATTCTTTAAAACCATCAAACATGACGATAACTATTCAAATTTATCTTCAAGTGTTCATTATTTACTTTCCCGACCGAAAACCTTCACTGATATAATTACTTTGGAATATTAAAATATTGTTAGTTTGTGACAAAATAGAAAAAAAATTCTCAGTTTCAGAAAAATCAATGGAAATTATCTATTTATTGATTAAAATTACTACAAAAAGATCCTTAATCATTCCCGATTTTACATCAGTATTTTAGTCTATTAGTCGGCATTAGCTGAAGCTGCAGTCGGCATTAGTCGTCAGCTAATAGGCCGACTAGTAAATTAACAGAAAAATTAGGATCCGTCTCTGTACGGAGCATTGCACAACTCTTTTTTACTGCATACCTAAAATTCTACGAAACTTTAATGGAAAAATTAAGTTTTTCTACTAATTCTTGAAAAATTTATTCACAAAATATTATTACCTACCTAATATTAAAATAATGCGCGCATTATACATTATACATTATTATGCATTATAAACAAAATGAATAAGAGCAAACATTGTTTTTAGAATTTATTTTTGTTAAAAGTCCCCCCCTGTTATCTTTTGAACAAATGCTTAACTAATTACTTAGCAACCGTTAAACGGATTTTAAAAATTTAAATAGTATCGAATAGAAAATCGAAATACCTTTGATATGAGGTATTACAAGCCTCCCCTAATTTTTATGTTGATACTGCCCTTAAGGCACTTCTTAAAAGGCACCTGTCATGACATATGAAATTGCAATTTGACGTAAAAAAATAGTATACTTAATATCCTCGACAATGGTTTTCGTACGATGTCGATACCTTTTTTTGTTCATAAAAAAACGTGCGCACTGTATTTATTGCTTTTAATTCTTTTCATTATTAAAATTCATAAACCGTTAAAAATTAAATAATTATAATTTGTTATAAACGTTTGTTTATAATACGGAAGAGAATACAATTTTTCCCTTGTTTACTGTTTTTTAATATTTTTACAGAATGGTTTTTAAAAACGTTTCAATTAATGTATATTATTCATTCAAATGCACTTACTATTTTTTATAGTTAAATAAAACAATAAATTTAATTAATCTTAAATTATATTTTATTAATTTTAATAAATAACAATACCAATAAAAATTAAATTACTATAAAAACTTTGCAGAGGTAGGTACACTCCGTATAATAAAATTTACATTGTTAATTATATATTCAGAAAAACTTTCAGTTTGTTTAGTGTTGTGGTAAACGTTGATTGTACAGGTTAGTAAAAGTTATATAAATTTAAAATTAATTAAAACTTGAAAATACGTTTAACTGAAATTAATTTGTATAAGTATATATGCATACATATGTTGATTAAATTTAATAAAATGTATTTAGTTTAGAATAATATTATATTTTTTTGTTTTAGTACCTTTATCAAAAATGGACTTCTTCCATACAATGCAAGAAAACTATATGTACATGGAGTCTCCAATTTCGCAACCAATGTTTACAATAGAAAGCTATTGCCACAACGAAGAGCTACATAGCAGTGATATACAAAAAAGTGTCGACGAAAATAAGGAAACAAATAATTCTCCTGAATTTACCATTGAAAAAGCTGATTATACAATAGAAAATTATGCAAACAACGAAGTAGTTAGCTACATAAAAAGTGAAGACGAAATCAAAAAAGAAAATTATTCGCCTGAATTCACCATTGAAAGGGCAGGTGACGAAGATATTTTGGATTTGTCTTATAATGTCAACCAAAATGTGTCCCAAAATAATCATTACTATGAAAATTTAAAAGAAAAGTTCATGGAAAATATGTCTGTTGGTTATGATAATTTAAACATCAACCAAAATCCTTACTATCAGTTAAATCCTGTTAATATACAAAGTGTTTATGACGAAAGCGGTAATGAATACTACATAAACTGTCCAGAAAATTATTTTTCAAATATGGAAAATCTTGGTTATTTCCACCAAGCAACAAACGCCATTGAAACTCCTGTTTCTGAAGATTCAAGCCAATCCTATGCTGATCAAAATACTCACGATTATAACAATCAATATACAAATATCAAATCCTCACAAACCGAAGAATCCGACTCAGCTTCCTCAAATTATTTTTCAAATATGGAAAATCTTGGTTATTTCCACCAAGCAACAAACGCCATTGAAACTCCTGTTTCTGAAGATTCAAGCCAATCCTATGCGGATCAAAATACTCACGATTATAACAATCAATATACAAATATCAAATCCTCACAAACCGAAGAATCCGACTCAGCTTCCTCAAGTTACTTGACATTGGAAGAAACAAATCAATATATAGCACGAAAAGAACAATACTTTTTTGATGAAAAACCCCAGGTCTGCGAGCTGTGTCAAAAAACATTTTCGAACACGACCTACTTAAAACAACACAACAACTATCATCATACTGGAAAAAATGTTCGGTGCCCAAAATGCGGGAAAAAATTTACCACCGAAAACTTAATGGAGGAACATTTTGTTAAGCATAATAGAAGTAAGCCACATAAATGCCATATGTGTTCCAGAGAGTATAATTTTAAAGCTGATTTAACTAGGCATATGGTGGTACATTTTAAAGGCAAAAAAACCCATACTTGCAGTATATGCAGGAAGGATTTTCCCAGAAAGGATCATATGAAAAAACATTATGAAGGTCATCTTCGTAAACAAACCAAAACTAATGTGTAACATTGTAAATTTAATTGTTTTTATTTTGACGTTATTTATTTATAGATATTAAATTATTTTCTATGTTTTACTGTGTTTTTATTTCTCTACAAAATATGAATTAAATATGCTGGTTAAAAATTTAGTTTTTCTTTCTTAAATCTATCGATTTATAAAACTTTTAAAACGATTTACTTTAAAACCATATATTTTGGTTAAATTTTTTTTATTTTCTAAATTTTAATTTGATAGAATTTAAAAATGCATGCTTCCACAATTAATAAATATTGAATAAGGTTTTGAGACCTTTCACCGAAATCTTCTTACTGCTGATAAATTAAATCCTTAATTATTAAAATTTAACGCGACTTGCTAATTAAAAGGGATTATGCACCCTTCCGTTAAATATGAACCTTCTTAATAACCCTGCCTAATCTTGCATATTATATGGCCAGTCCAATTTATATCCAATTTGATATTCATTAACTTTGTCGATCTTTTGTGTTTTGTTAAATAGATTTTTTTAGATTTTATCCACCAGCTGTTAAAAATATACTAGCAACCCCGGTCTTGTGAGTAAAGGCTGTAAAATTATAAATAGAAAAATTATATACAGGGTGATCCAGGTTATAGTAGCAATAATTCACCATTGGATGGCCATAAAAAATAAGTGCCCTTAAAAGTTCAATTTAAAAAAAAAATATTTTTGTCATAACTCTTCGTTTTTGACCAAATTTGGTACAAGTTCTTATGAAATAGATACTTATTACTTGTCGCAAGTAACTTTTGTCAAAATTTTTTTTTAATTACATGTTTTGAATTCCTTCCTCAATTTAGGAAAAAAGTCACTCGTATAAATTTTAAATTGGGCCTTCGTTTACGAGATAATTGAGTGATTTTAATAGTACATTATGTATCAAGTTTGATAAACGCCATTTTATACACGAAATTAATTTAGGCACGAGCGAGCTTGCGAGCGAGTGCTTAAATTAATGAGTGTATAGAAAAGTTTATAAACGAGGTGCATACTATACTTTTTCTACGACAAATACTTATTATTATCTTAAAATGAGTAAAATCAAAAATTTGTATAGAGCGCCATCTATGAAACAATAGGGGAAACTGTGTGTCACCGTCAAATGTCACATTTTTAATTTTATAAACATAATTATAAAGGTTAAAAATCGAAATGTATTTCTTGAAAGTTTTTCACAGTGAAAGTAAAGAAAATGTTTTATGAGGACTTTACAGTAGAGTCCGTGCCCGAATTTAAGTTATAGTTTACTGCCGGCGAAATTAAAAGGTACAATGTTCATATAAACTTTTCAAATATTGGCGTTGAGAAACTATTTAATACTTTTCTATTTTTGTATTGAGATAATAAAATAATTTTCACATTTAGTATTATTTTACAAGAAAGGCACTTTATTTTAACGATTGTATGACATTTGACAACTGTCAACTAACTTCAGCCCGAGACTAAAAACCTGTTGCTAACTTCAGCCCGTGACAAAAGCGCCATAAAGCCACAACTAGTCAATGTGTATTTAAAAGGTCACTTAGTGTCATGGAAACATGTCCGATAAAGGGCGTTTAAAAGGTGGGAGTAGAAAAAGTATTTTGAAGCTGAATATATGCATTACATGTAACTATTTATTTTTCTGATTGCACAGGATGGAACAAAAAAATGACACTTTACCAAACCACATTTTTCAAATTATTTTAAATAGTTTTTCAACGCCAATATTTGAAAAGTTTTTATAAAAATTGTACTGACCTTTTAATTTCGCTTAAATTTCAGTTAACTAGATATAACTTAAATTCGCGCTCGGACTCCACCCTGAAGTGCTCATAAAACTTTCAATGTGAAAAACTGTTATTAATCCATTTTCAAGGGATACACAAACAAATTTGACATTTGACGGTTACACAGATTTCCCTATTGTTTTATAGATGTCGGTCTATACAAATATTTAATTTAAATCATTTTAAGATAATAATAAGTATTTGACCTCGAAAAAGTATAGCAACTCGTTTATAAACTTTTCTAGACGCTCATTAATTTATTAAATTAAATTAAATTCGTGTCTAAAATGGCTTTTATCAAACTTGATACATAATATACTATTATCTACGATGAACGCAAAGAAGAATTGAAAGCCAATTTTATTTGTTAAACATTTAACCTGTGAAATGTCAACGGATTTAACGTCACTTCTCCTCAATTTACGATAAAGCTAACTTTATCCCTAAAATATCCAAAAGCCACTATTGGCCACTTTGGCCCGTGACTAAAACGCTATAAACCCACAGCTCGTCAATGTGAGAGTAAATAAATAAGTTTAAACCATTTAAATTGTTTTTTATAAATTTTGTTCTTGTGGTTTTAACATTCCTACAAAACATAAATTCTATTTGTATTTGTAACCTTCTAAAATGGATTCTAAATTGGGTTTTAACCATTTTAAAATCTTAATTTTTGTCTTTTTTATTTTAAAATATTCTTTGACTTTCTTATACAACATTGAGCGTATTATGAAATGGGTGTCACGCTTACGGTGAAGTTGCGGTGAATAGTCAATGAACGTTATTTTCGTGGTTATAGTATATTCAATTTACGGTAAATAATTAGCTTGCTTGTTTAATTAGCTCAATAATTACAGATTGTAAATAAATAATGACTAAACATTTGTTTGACGGTCCAAATGTCGTGGTTTAAGAGTCATATTCTAGTTTTCGTCGGTATATTTAGTTAAACTGTGAAAAACTAGGCTTGAAATGGTAAATTATTCACGATCAGACTGTTATTATGTAAATTGCCTATACATTGTGTTTTTATATTCTAATAAAAAAAATTACCCTTGCAGTTTCATGCTTGCGAAGAAAAGTATTTTGACCAATATATTTGCAACATTTTTAAGTATTTAACTTTTTATATCTTTATTTCGCGTTTTGCTATATTATATTTTGGGTTTTAATGTCTTTATGTCTTTATATGGAGTATTTTGTAGCAGGGAGGTGTAAAAAATCCCAAATCCCTCATCGTTTACATCGAAAGCTTTGTCTTTTATCCTGCCAATTAAACTTTGTAATCCTGCAAAAACATAATTCCAGACAATATTAGAGAGTATTAGAGCTAAGTATGCGTAATAACTTATTATTAAGTAATACTTGTAGAAGGTAGAATGTAGATGCGCCTAATAGAGAACGGTGAATGAGGGGGTAATTTGTAGTGTCTAGACTGGAATTCAAACATTACTTTGTATATTGCTAGGTGAATGAATAAAATAAATTGCGGCAAAGGCCCATAAGCACATCGTGTATCGGCTCTTGTGAGCACAACAAATAACGCAATACCGGTGTATCGAGGTGGTCTCGCAGGGGGGCACTACATTATTTTCCGAGGCGCACTATGAGGAGAACGAATAGAAAAGTAAGACATTTATTTTAAATATTTGCAAAAAAATAAAAAATGAAAATATTTTCAGGAAAAGAAAAACTTCTCAAAGTTCTGTTTTTGTAAATATTTAGTATAAGTACTAACTCTATATATTTATATGTTTGTATAAAGTATTTTTAGACACACTTTACTTATATAGACCTATTTAAGTATACTATATCACTATAGTGATTTAATTATAATTATTATGACTTTATAATTTATTAAAATATTTTTTCTACTCCCACCTTTAAAACGCCCTTTATTGTACATGTTTCCATAACACTAAGTGACCTTTTAAATACACATTGATAAGTTGTGGCTTTATGGCGCTTTAGTCACGGGCTGAAGTTAGTTTTAAGTTAGTTGACAGTTGTCAAATGTATACATAATTTGTCGTTTAGAATTTTAAAATGCAGTTGTCGGCGTTTTTTAGAGCACTCAAATATAAAAATGTTTGATTTTAAGGTTATGGTTGTACAACTATTATTTTTAGTTAGATTTCTTAAAAATGTCCAAACTTAAATAAAAATTATATTAGGTAAAGTTATCATTTTAGTTAACTATAGTTAATTCTGCACCAACAAATATACATGATCACTCAGATAAAATACACACACTAACGTAACTATATAAGCATATAAGCGTTAAGTTTCTTAATCAATGATATAAGGAATAATAAAGCAAAATCAAATACTAAACCAAAGTTTTTCAGTATTTACTTGTAACGGGAAACAAGAATAACGTGCGCTATTTAGCTGTGCAATTGAAACTTTGGGAACAAAATTTTTTGTGTAAGACTTCTCTGCCTTTTGTGAAAAAACTACTTATTTATTTAAAAATGATTTGCAATTCGGATGCTTTAAATGCATTTAAATGCATGTATTGTTAACAAGTCTTAAATCCCCACAATGCCACCAGATGGCGCTCGAGTTGCGAAAATTATACTTGCTCTTTAAGATTTAAGACTATCGTACAAAAATTTCAAAAATATCTCAAGTAAGAACCTCTCTAATAAATGTACAATATTTTATAAAAATATGCCAATAATAACGTTAAGAGCTACCTAATCTCATTCCTAAGTTATTGTAAGGCTGCATTATTCAAACTTGAGTATAAATCGTATAAATCGAATATACAAAAATTATGAACGTTTTATGGCTATTTTTTTTATTAATTATAAAAACAAATCCTTACCGATCATATTATAACAAAAAATATTAAAATAAAATGTGGTATAAATTGGGACAGGAAAAACAAATTATAAAATTATCATATACCTATGTACATATCTCAATTTTGAAATGTTTAGCTATTTTTCAAAAACCATGCAGCTTCTGTCTTTAACAAAAGCACCTGATTCTTTCAAACAATAGGCAACTAACTACCAATTTGACAGTTAATGCACTGGCACCATCTGCCACTCTTTTATAGGACTACAAAGAAGGCGGACAGAACGGACATAAAATATTGGGGACAGCTTTAATTTTAATAGAAAGTATTTAAGATTTTACAAAATGGTAAATTTAGAAAGATAAAGCTTTAAAAAAAATTAAAAAATACTATTACTTATGGCAATTATTGCACTTCAAGATAAACGTGATAATGTTAAATTAAAGAAAAA